TCTTAAAAATGAAAGAACTGAATTAAAATGGCTGCTCAAACTAAGTCATACTAACTTCAAATATTAAATCTAACCAATTAATAACAATATAACAGGGTTTAAAAAAACACAGGTATGTGAGGCTTTGTGGCTGAAAACTCTGGGTTCAACAGGACCAGGAATGGAGATCCACTGCGCATATCCCTCATCTCCGTCAACGCAGCAGTCAATACCCATAATCCACTTCTGGCAGGCACCAGATAATTTCATCATTGGCCACCATCCAGATCACACATCCTTCTCTGCTGGAAGGGAGCATAGCATGATACTTGCCATAACCATGCTTCAGCATCCCACGCCAGGCTGTAGCACTTGGGGCTCCACAGAAGGGGTATGGGTGAGACCTCTCCCCACCCCAAGGAACCCAGCCCTGGCAGCTGACAACTCCCAGAACCCAGCCACCGCCATGCTCATGGTTGCTTTCCACATTCTTGGGTTGAGTCTCACTTATGAGTGAACCTTTTCCTATACACTTCATAGGATACACCCTACCCATAATCCAACAATACCACATCACATTTGATGGGATTCAAAATAGGAGGCAATCAATGTTAGAGGGAAATATTATATTATTTTGGTTCTGCTTTGGGGCAGGGATTGGGTTTCAGGATGGAAACACTTGAAATATGGTGGTGTTAAAGTGTAATGGTGGTGGAATTAGTGCTTGAATATTAAATGTAATAAAATACTGTGAAGTCCTTTATAAAATAAAAAAAGATAAAAAAAAAAACAAACCTAACAACATTCACTACAGTAGTGTTCTCGGTACTTGCTCCTCTCCAGCTTTAAATACTTTCCTGATAGTTGTCTGCTCAGAAGAACCTGTTGGTCATTCAGTACTTATGTTTCTGAGCTGATTATGAAGAATGTTGAGAAAACAGAGAAAATCCAGTCACTAAAGAACACCTTATAGACCTTTTTGTTTTAGTCTGACAGTCCCTTCTCTGGCCTAGCTGGTTTCCTATCCTCACAGGCTCTACTAGATCCTCTGTTTTCTTTCTCTTTTCAGAAAATAATAAACAGAGTATATTAAAAAATAAGAAACATCAGACTTGGAAAATCACAAAATTTTTAAATTAAAAATTTGTAAATATAAAATGAATTTGTAAAATGTTACTGTTAATAGTAATTCTCTGTTTCTGTTATAATGTACACAATGAACCAAAACGTTGAATTTTTGTGGGAATCACTAAAGTATTTCTTTTAAGAAAAAAAAAGAAAATTCCTTCTTTGTGTGCTTTATACCATAGCATTTGGGACCTCACATGAATGCATTATAGATATCTTTTTTTTTGCGGGGCTAGGATGGCTGAACAGATGTTATTTTGGTCTTTTTTAAAATCATTTTTCCTTCGTGGTTGTGCACACAAATCTGTACAGAAATATAAAAAATAGAGATGATTTTTGAGAATAGAGAAGTTCATGTAATCTGGGATGAACTATCAGCTATGTGGTGGGTAACTTTTCAGAATCATTGAAGACCTGAATCAGTTTAAGTTAGCACAGACTCATAGACCAGGGCTTGAAAAAACTAATGCAAGTTAGAGGTTTAATACCATGTAAACGATAATATGCCAATGATAGTTCAGTTATTTAGGTTACTTACTTTCCCTCATAAGAAGGGCTGGGTAAAAAGGCTTTGGAACTGTATAAATTATAGTAGTGTGAAAATTTCTGGAGTAATTCATTTGTTTTTTACAACGACACTCTGTAATATAATAATATTTGTAGATAGAATTGCTTTTTTTTTGGTGTTTCTGAATGCTTGTTACTTGTGTATCAGGCATAGTACGTGATTTGTTCCAGAAACCCTTACAAAAGACCTATAAAAGCTTTCTATCTTTCAAAATGGCAGAAGACACTATAGGGACTTAACTGAACCAAGGATATGGACTAAAGACAGATAGTTGATATTAAAATCAAAGGATAACTTTTAGCTGGGTTGGAGAGGTAAGACTGTGGGTAGGACACTTGCCTTGAATGCAGCTGACCCAGGTTCCATCCCTAGCATCTGGAGCCCCACTGGGAATGATGCCTGAATGCAGAGCTGAGAGTAAGCCCTGAGCATCACTGGATGTAGTCACAAAACAAAAACAATTGAAACAAACAAAGGACAACTATCAGGAATTATATTTTCCTGTTTTAAGTTTCCTGCATTCCCAGTAATGCCAGATGTATAACTCAAAGGATCTGGCACTGTTTTCTAAGATGACGGTGGAGGGACTTTTCTGGAGACTGAAGAATGGAGCTAGGAGAGTAGTAATTTTTGACTGAGGGACAGAAGCAGCAACCCTTTATTTTCTTCAGTGTTTTTCTATCAACAAGTTGTCAATGAGAGCCTTCAAGATCCATTAGTTTGAGAAAGAGCAAAACAGACAAAAAAGAATTAGTGTTAGAGATAAATTAAAAGCCCTACCTATTGAGTGTAGTTCTTTTGTAAGGAAGATTTCAGTGTTTTCTTTTTTTAATCAAAATTTGAAGTTTTGGCATTTGTATCTACTAAGTCTGGGATAATTTATTATAACTTCTTTTTTGAGATGTTAGAAGAATTCTCTGTAGTACAGTGATAAATGCAGATACTTTCTAAGCCTCTGGGGGCTGGGAAAAGTTTAGAGTGATTTAGGGGCAACCAGACAATGCTTCATTACCCAGGAAACTGACCCTTCTACCATCTGCTGTAAATGAGATCTGAAAACTTTCTCCATCCTATTATCTTGTCAATTCTTAGCATCAGTTTCTAACAAGAGAGTTGAAATGCAATATAGCTTTGGCTGGGAAAAAAAGGTACTTAGGGTTTAGTGGACTGTAACTCGGCTGCAAATCCAAATGGGTAATATTTAGGTTGTAATATGATTTTCTTCATGCAGATTGTGATGTTTACATCTCGTAATGAGACCCATGTTTTTTTTTTTATATATCAGTGGCTTTCAAATGGAAAATGTTGGGGAATAACTGGATGTGCATAAAGGGGGTAACTTCAGCACACCTAAGTACGAATATCGACCCTTTATTAAGTGAGAATTGTGTATATAAAAATTCATACAATTTTCTCTCATTTACATTATTTTACCACTTGTATTTGTTTGATATACTGTGTTGTTTCAAAGTTTGTGTCCTCAATCTCCTGCTCTTCCTAGTCCCCATAATGTGTTCAAAAAAGCATTTACCCTAATATTTTGGAAGTATACATGAATGGGAAATGTTGTTATAGAAAACTGGGGTGTGTTGTAGAACTGTATATGGATTAGAACTGTGGTTGTGATAAATCAACAACAAAAAAGGGCTCTTTTTTCTTTCTCACACAGAGCAGTTGCATTTGTTAAACATTTACTACCATATAGCTTATTATTTCCTTTATGAGGCTAAAGATCTAGTGAAATAGACAATTAATTAATGAAAAACAAATATTAAAAAAGGGAGAAAGAATAGGAATTAAAAAAAAGTCAAGGAGAACTAAAATAGCTTGATTTTCTAACTTCTTTTTCCATTTCTCTGAGTATCTTCCTTGGCATTTCTTCATCATTTTGGTGTCTGGGATATTTCTTCTGTATGCTTATTTAGAGCTTTGGTTTCTTTATAATTTTGGCTGGTATGGAGTCTGCTGCATTCTCTCTACCTATTTCTTACCAGTATTAGTTCTGAATTCACATTGTTCAGATTCCTTGTATTCTGCATCTAGAGTCCAATGAGTAAGGGTTTTATCACCTGTTCTAGATCTCTTTATTACATATAATAGGATAAATTATAGACTATCCTGTAGATGAAATGATAAAATGTAAAAAAGAGCCATAGTTATCCTTATCTCTCCCTATAACCAAGTGATTTTTTTTTAGCTATCTCCACTAAGAAAGTAAGTCTATTTGGTGAGGTGTGTTGGTTAGTACAATCAAGTAAAAGTGGCATTATATCTGTATACCTAGTCATTGGCAGCCTTGAATATATTCCCTATTGTTCTTGAAAACTGTTCATCTGAGTATGTTTCAGCTAGGCTACTGGAATTTGAGAGTCCAAGTGAACAGAGCTAAGTAGTCCAACTAGAGTCGTTTAAGGCATCTCCTAGTTACCTGGAATTTGACTGCAAATGCATAAATGATACCAACTAAAATCAACCAAGCACGTTCCAGAGTATTCAGATCAACCAATATATTTCAAATTGCTGTCCTACATCATCAGGAGCTAAATAAATGGATGTTTTAAAGTAACTGAATAAAGACACTTCTGTTCTGATAAGCTACTCTAGGTAACATGATCAAAACACAAAACCCCCTTAGTTGTTAAGGAGGCTGTTGTATTGAGAAAGGATGCCAAATTTTCTTTATTTGGTAGATATCTTGTAGAGCACCTATAGAATGTCATGTATCATGCTAGACAATGGAAACCAAGGGTGATAAAAATATACATATGCCCTGTGTCAAGGAGTAATATTAGTAAATAGACTTTTTATTTGATATGGAAAATATATTTTTCACATATTTGCCCAGTAGCACATTGAATTGCAAACCTTACATAGTACTCTTAAATAGGACCAACTATTTAACATGTGGCAAAGAGAAAAAATGAAATAGTCAACATAAACCCATCGAATTTAGAGACATCTAGAGCATTGGTGATTTTACCTATTTTTTTTCTTGGTTGCTTACTTTCTTAGGTGATTTTTTTATTTCTCTCTCTTCTCTTTCTTTCCCCAAAACTACATATGACTGTATTAAGAAGTTCTGGAAAATGAATTAGGTTGACTAATGTTATTTCAAAATTTATCTCCTCCTGTAAGTGGAAAATATGACCCTGTTTAAAAATAGATTTTGTTTGGCAAATTTAATCAGGTTAAGATGAGGTCATAACCTTGGCTAGCTCTACTTCAACGACTCTTGTTAAGCAGAGGAAAACTTCATAGTGTCGTCACAGAGGAGAATAGCATATATAAGACAAAGACAAAGGTTAGAGTGTGCAGTGAGGCAAGAAATACCAGGGATTGCCAGCAATTACTGGGATCTAAAAAGAGACAAGACACACTATTAGATAGACCTTTCAGAGGGAGCACAGACATAAGGGCATTCTGATTTTGGAGATATAGCTTTCAGAATTTTGAGGAAATGAATTTCCATTTTGTTTTGTTTTGGGGCCATCTAAAGTGAAGCTCAGGTGTTAGTCCTGGCCCTACACTCAGGAATCGCTCCTGGTGGGGCTTGAAGACCATATAAAATGCCATGGATTGAACTCAGGTCAGCTGTGTGCAAGGCAAGTACACTAAGCCGCTGTACTATTGCTACAGCCCTGAATTTATGTTTTTTGAAACTTCCATGTTTGTAATATTTTTGCAGCTGCATGAAGCTAATACAGAGAATAAGAAAATTGCAAGCATGAGTATAGAGGTTTTGTTTTGTTTTGTTTTTAAAGAAATTTTGCCACATGCTAAGGGCAAAGGGTGCTGCCTGGAGCTAGAGAATCAGAAAGCAGAGATAGAGCATTTCCCTTCCCTTCCCTTCCCTTCCCTTCCCTTCCCTTCCCTTCCCTTCCCTTCCCTTCCCTTCCCTTCCCTTCCCTTCCCTTCCCTTCCCTTCCCTTCCCTTCCCTTCCCTTCCCTTCCCTTCCCTTCCCTTCCCTTCCCTCCCCTCCCCTCCCCTCCCCTCCCCTCCCCTCCCCTCCCCTCCCCTCCCTTCCCCTCCCCTCCCCTCCCCTCCCCTCCCCTTCCCTTCCCCTCTCATGTGTAGACACTGGGTCCAACTCGAAAACAAATGGTCATATTACCCATAACTTCTCAAATTCTAAATGCAATGGGTTTATCTCAGTTCTTACCTTTTGTTCTCTCAGCACTTATGAACACATACCCATACTTCTGTGATTTCTTAACTTCTTTTAAAAATCTCTTTCAGCTATGACAAATTGGAGTTTCTGAAAGCTTCTTTACATAAACACTACAGTGGTGGGAACAACAATGAAGAAAATGAATCAAGTAGAAATGAATCATACTAGGAGTTTGTGACCCATGGAAAGGGTGAGTGTAACCTGAATCCTGTTTGTTTTTCAACACTGTATTGGGAACTAAGTGTTGTTAGAGGTTCTAACAATTATTATTATTATCTTGAACCCGAAAGACCAATCTCTGATAGAATTGGAACTCTGAATATGTAAATAATGAGAAATAGGGATAATGATAAAGCTTTACGAGAGAAAAATAAGATCCTGAATATCTAATTCATCTTTTCATCCTTTTACCTGGCCCTCTACCACTACTTTGGTATGAATGAAAAATGGCACAGATAATATAGAATTAATAAAAGTATCACAAAATATTAAAGTATTAGCACATTTGGGGAAATGTTAAATGTATTTTTAGTTGCAACATCCCTCACATTATCTTCTGGTCTCTAAGATCATGCTGAGAAGAATATAACTGAAAAGGTTCTGTAAAAATTAATTGAAAGATGCAGTACAGATGAAGTACCCATTATATTTCATAGGAAACAAGTTAAAATCTGTGTATGTAGAAGAGAAATGGTTCATGTCTTTTATTTTGTGCCCGCCAGATGAAAATTTGTGATCTTTATCACCTGTGCCAAGATGTCATTGAAATCTCAAAGGTTTTTTTGTCAACTGAAGTTTCACTTCCAAGGTTATATTGATTTCATAGCATTTTGTAGTTGGCATATCTTGACATGAACCGTAGATGTTATTTTGAATTCCCAATGCCTTTTATTAGATCTTTAAATCAATTACTACTAATACGATGAGAAATTTAGAATTTTTAACCACAGACATTATTCTCAGAACTTCATCTTGACAGCATATGAGATTGGAAAATAGATGAATTGAATTGAACCCAAGTTTTCTGACTTTTAAATCAGGTTTTTTTCTAGCAAATGGTTCTGACTAATAGATGGTAATTTACTTTGATCTCTACAAGTTAAGTGAATTGGTGATCATAACATGAGCACTTTACTTCAGATTCGTTCGCTTATGTGAGAAAGAAATGTGAGATGAGAAAGAGGGTTTTGGTGATTATTGTAGGGATATTGTATTAGGGAGATAAGATATTCTTGTGAAAATACAATTTTATTTATTTTATTTTCTCCAACCTTTTGTTTCAGCACTTGGAATTACACAATTGTTTACATTAGAGTTTCATGGACACAATGTTGCACCACCACCACCACCAGTGTCAGTATCCCTCCGCTCTTGTTGCAGCGTCTGTCCCACCCTGATGGCAAGATTTATTTCTGTACTTTTTGGGAGACATTTACATATTTATACTTTAATCCAAATTTATATGTAGGTTCATGTGCATTTTTATTTTTTATCCTCCCATTAAATTCATCTTGTTCCTTTCCTCTGTTATTCTTTCTTCACATTTTCCTTTTCCTCTACTGTTTATAAAGTTAACATGTTTCTTATTTATGGAATTAGTGTATAAACTCACTTACATGATCATTGGTATTTTTGGTTTTGTTTCTGGTTTGGGGGTCAAATCCTGTGGTGTTCAGGGCTTACTCCTGGTTTTATGCTCAGAAATCTCTCCCAACATTACCCAAAGACTATATGGTGTGCTGGAAATCGAACTGGGGTCAGCTACTTGCAAGGTGCATGCCTTACCTGCTTTACTATTGCTCTAGCACAATTTTTCTTTCAAAAGAGACACATAATAATACTTTTTATTTTGTTTTGGGGCCACATCCAGATGTTCTCAGGACTTATTCTTGATTCTATGCTCAGAAACACTACTGGTTGGGCTTAAGGGTCCCCACTCCTGATGGTGTTGGAGATTGAAGCAACTAATTAGCCATGTGGAAAATAAGTGTCTTATCTTCTGTGTTATCACTCACAATCCAAATATAATCATTCTTTTAAATGAAATAGTATATAGTTAATTTTTAATTTATATAACTGAGCAGTCATCACCATGATCCTATTTCAGAACATTTTCATCATCTTACAAAAATCCATCTGTATGCCGTTCTTATAACTAAATTTCTGAATTTGTACCCAAAAGAATTGAAAAATAAAACAAAATTCAGTAGTATTTCTGAATTCATTTTTTAACAACAGATAGCCAAAAGAGGGATGCAAACTAATTATCCATCAATAGATGAATGGATAAACAAAACATGGTATAAACATACAATGGAATAGTATTAAATCTTTAAAAGGATAGAAATTTTGACAGACACTACAACATAGATTAATCTTGAGGACATTATGCTAAGCAAAATAAGTCAGTCACAAAAAGAAAAATCCTTACCCAACCGAGATGAAGTATCTTTATATAGTTAAATATATAAAGAGAGAAAAACTGGTAGTTGTCATGACAGGGACAGGGAAAAGAGGTTATCATGTCTAATGGGCACTGAGTTTTAGTTTTATTAGAGTTCTGGTGGGGGCTGGAATGATAGCACAGCAGGTAAGGTGTTTGCCTTGCATGTGGCTGACATGGCTGACCTGCGTTCGATTCCTCCACTCCTCTTGGAGAGCCTGGCAAGCTACTGAGAGTATCTCGCCCGCATGGCAAAGCCTAGCAAGCTACCCGTGACGAATCCAATATGCCAAACACAGTAACAACAAGTCTCACAATTTGTTGTGAGACATTACTTATGCCTACTCGAGCAAATTAATGAGGACAGTTAGGACAGATGAGGACAGGAGGATGAGGACAGGAGGACAGTGCTAGGACAGTGCTAGAGTTCTGGAGACAGATAGAGGTGATAGTTGTACAACTACATAAACTTATTTTATACCATTAACCTGTACACTTAATACTGGTTAAGATGACACATTTTATGTGGATTTTTATCACAATTAAAAGACCCTTTGTACAGATTGTTCCCTTACAACATTTATTGTATTAGAGGGCAAGTGTTTAGAATAAAAACATAATATATAATTTCTTTTTTAGGCTTGCCTATTCTTGAATTTAAATGTGATCATATAGTATGTTATGCTTTGCTTCTTTCATGAAAATTATGTTTTTATTCTTAAGATTTATCTTATAATACAATAAAATGTTTTTGTTGGAATCATTTATTACTTTAGCAATAATTTTTGCAACAAAAATGTTGCTTAAGTTTGAAATTAAAACACTTTGGTTATTAAGCTGGTTTATAGAAGAGCAAATTATTTCATATGAATGAATACCTTCTGAAACTATGTAACTTTTTAAAATTTTTTATAATTTTATTTATTGAAACACTATGAGAGCAGTTACAAAGCTTTCAGATTTAAGTCTCAGTTATACAATGAAACACCCATACCTTCACCAGTGCCCATTCTACACCACCAAAACCCCCAGGATACCCCAATCCCACATCCTCCCCGTACCTGTAGGGCAGATGATTTCCACATTACTCTCTCTCTACTTTGATAACATTCAATATTTTGACATCAGACCCACCATTATTATTTGGGTTTTTACCCCAACACTCAGATCTGCTGAAAAGGCAATAGTAGACAATTTGTTTTCTATTGCTGGTTAAGAATAACATATGATGTCACGTGGCTGCAGTAATGGCCACTCGATTTTGAAATTCCGAAACTTTTTTTTTTTTTATTTATTGAATCACTGTGGGAAAGGTTACAAAGCTTTCAGGTTTATGTCTCAGTCATGCAAATATCAAACACATTTCCCTTTACCAATACTTATTTTTGACCATGAAGAACCCCAATAAAACCCCACCCCCCACCCCTCCCAGTCCCTGTGAGGCAGATGAATTCTAGTTAACACTCTATCTGCTTTGATTAGATTCATTGTTTCAATAAAAGATTCACCACTATTATTTAGAGTTTATCCCCCCCCAAATCAGACATGCTGAAAAAGCATTGTGAAGTGATTTGTTTTCTACAGCTGGGTTCAAGAATTAAATGTTGGTTTTGGATTTCTGCTATTTTACTTATTGACCCTGGAAGTATTTCTATTGAAAGTCAGATAGTTAAGAAATTGGTTTCTGTGCTCTGGAGTCGTGGCCGTGCTGGAGAGCCGCTCGTGGGGGGCAACTGGTGGCCTCGGTAGGGCGTGAAGGGCAGACCGAAATGCCCCCCTTCCCATGAGGTTTTAGTCGCCCCCACACCCCCGGCTCATACTTGCTGTCCACAAGGCTCCCATGCGGCCGCCATCTTTCTTTCCAGAGAGGAGAGGGCGAATGGGGCAACACCCTTTCCCCTCTGCGCAGACATGATGGCCTGGATTAACGCATAGTCCATTCACTTTTCTGCTCCAAGCTGCTGGGTTCTGCATTAAGTCCTTGTGCTTCTGGGACTGTGGCCGTGCTGGAGAGCCGCTCGTGGGGGGGCAACTGGTGGCCTCGGTAGGGCGTGAAGGACGGACCGGAACGCCCCCCCTTCCCATGAGGTTTTAGTCGCCCCCACACCCCCAGCACATACCTGCTGTCCACAAGGCTCCCATGTGGCCGCCATCCTTCTTTCCAGAGAAGAGAGGGCGAATGGGGCAACACCCTTTCCCCTCTGGCAGACTTGATGGCCTGGATTAACGCATAGTCCACTCACTTTTCTGCTCCAAGCTGCTGAGTTCTGCATTAAGGCCTTGTGCTTCTGGGGCTGTGGCCGTGCTGGAGAGCCGCTCGTGGGGGGCAACTGGTGACCTCAGTAGGGCCTGAAGGACGGACCGGAACGCCCCCCTTCCCATGAGGTTTTAGTCGCCCCCACACCCCCGGCTCATACCTGCTGTCCACAAGGCTCCCATGTGGCCGCCATCCTTCTTTCCAGAGATGAGAGGGCGAATGGGGCAACACCCTTTCCCCTCTGGCAGACTTGATGGCCTGGATTAACGCATAGTCCACTCACTTTTCTGCTCCAAACTGCTGAGTTCTGCATTAAGTCCTTGTGCTTCTGGGGCTGTGGCCGTGCTGGAGAGCCGCTTGTGGGGGGCAACTGGTGGCCTCGGTAGGGCCTGAAGGACGGACCAGAATGCCCTCCTTCCCATGAGGTTTTAGTCGCCCCCACACCCCCAGCTCATACCTGCTGTCCACAAGGCTCTCATGCTGCCGCCATCTTTCTTTCCAGAGAAGAGAGGGCGAATGGGGCACCACCCTTTCCCCTCTGGGCAGACATGATGGCCTGGATTAACGCATAGTCTATTCACTTTTCTGCTCCAAGCTGCTGGGTTCTGCATTAAGTCCTTGTGCTTCTGGGGCTGTGGCCGTGCTGGAGAGCCGCTCGTGGGGGGGCAACTGGTGACCTCAGTAGGGCGTGAAGGACGGACCGGAACGCCCCCCCTTCCCATGAGGTTTTAGTCGCCCCCACACCCCCAGCTCATACCTGCTGTCCACAAGGCTCCCATGTGGCCGCCATCCTTCTTTCCAGAGAAGAGAGGGCGAATGGGGCAACACCCTTTCCCCTCCGGGCAGACTTGATGGCCTGGATTAATGCATAGTCCGTTCACTTTTCTGCTCCAAGCTGCTGGGTTCTGCATTAAGTCCTTGTGTTTCTGGGGCTGTGGCTGTGCTCCAAACTTAACTCTGATTTTCAGGGAGAAACGCTGGGTGGTTTACTTCCCATTGATCACTTTGTATATAGAGAGATGTCGCGTGGCCGCATAAGCGGCCACGTGGTTTTGAGGAAAAGTCCTAGTTCCCGCATACTTGAGTTGTGTTTGTAGAGGCTTCTGGTCACCGGGGTTCCATCTGGAGGAGGCGGGATGCGGTACCTACCCCATCTGGGACTTCCCGATGATCTCGGCTCTTTTTGGAACCTAAAATTCCGAAACTTTAACATTTAAATCTGGAGGGATTTCTGCCAAAACCTGTGGGGTTTCTGAGATTTGTTACTGAGTCTCTGGGTTCATGGCTGTTAACTAGCTTGATCAGGAGTCAGAAAGGTCTTTTGTGGGTGGTGACTTGGGTTCTCCTTGGGGTGGGGAGGAAAGGGCTGATTCCACCCTCATCCCTTGAGGCCCCACGTGTCTTGTCACAGCGGGCCCAAACCTGACTGTCCAGTGGCCTCTGGAGGATGGCAGCCACTGGGCCACCAGGGGGAACAGGTCAAGGGCCGAAACCTATTCCCGCCTGGGTTAGCCCAGTGCTGATAATCTACTGTAGGGACCGGACACATTTCTGCCAAAAGCCGTTGGGTTTCAAGATTTTTTTCTGAGTCTCTGGGATCATGGCCGTTAAGCAGTACGATCAGGAACCGGAACCAGAGAGGCCATGCTTCCAATTATATAGCTGAGGCCGAAGTAGTTTGTGGGTGTGTTTTGCACATACCTAACTTTTGGCCGTTTACTTTCTTGGTAAACTTTCCCCCAAGTTTTTGGGGTCTGGCCAAAGGCACAGCAGCAATTTTAGGGTATCTGGAAGTCTGAAGGCACCATCAGGCTGCTGAAG